CCTGGGTGGAAATAATCAAATATACAGTCACTAAGGATGGCCCACAGATAGAAGGAAGCCCCTATTTTGCTGGAATGATTTGCATCCAAGTTTTAAAGACGAATGAAGTTTTACGTCTTAGGCAATAAAGACCAAAAATAGACTAGCTATTTTAAATAATTGAACCTTATACAGACCAAAGTTAGAACATCTTTCCTAGGGCAGTATTTTCTTCCACCCACTCGCTAAAGCTGCATTTGAGAAAGCTGTGTGCTGTTAATAAATGCTGGAATATCATTACAATCGACATCATAATACTACTACTAATTGGATCAGAAACATAAGCTTGAAAAATGTAAAACGAGCTCTCACTGAGTTTGGAAATGTAGGCACTAGAGGGTGCTCATTTCTCTTCCTTTTCCAATCAGGGGGCTATTCAAAGCCTGTTCTAGAACAAGGAGTGAGATCCTCCACTTCCCCGTGGTGATCAGACTTTCAGGGGTAGAAGCCTTATTAGTTCATAATCAGCACAAACCGACCTCACCATCAAATGTGTCAACCCCGATGCTCACCCTCCTCAGCAGTCAGAGACTGGCTGTGTTCACCAGGAGCTTGCGCGCTTTTACTTTATCCTCGGTTTATTACAAAAAATGGGCCTCTATAGGGGGTTCCATAAACAGAAGCTCTCTATACTTTGCCCATTTAGAAACTACAAAGTCTGACACCAGATGAAAGGTGTAACTTAAAGCTTGTATGTGGTGAAGATTTTTAAATAAACAAATTAAATAACATATAAAGAAAATTTCAATAATGCTCTCAAATCCAATCCCACCTTCCATTGGTAACCAATATTAACACTCTGGTTTGCCTCTTTTCACCCCTCTTTTCTGTGTTCATGCATACCTTTCTATCCAAGTACACCTACAGAAAATGGGTTCACCTGTACACTTTACCTGTCACATGCATACTCTTCTGTTAATATACCTTGGTCTTTATTGTTCCAGATTGGTTGATATAGACCTAACTTGCTCCTATTAGCTGCTTCATATTGCATAATGAGGGTAGACAGGTACATTCGTGCTCTATTTTCTGACTCCTAAATTCTGCTAGATCTTTTCTAAAGTGACTGAATGGCCTATTTATGCTTCCTGGTTCTCCTCACTCCACCACTCAGTTGATGATTCCAGCTTTTCCATCACTCATAGTCCTGGCAGGTCTGAGAGCTCCATTGGTTTCTCCTGCATGAGGAGACAGGAAGGGATAAAAGGATAGACATTTATCAAATCTATCAGAGACTACACAGTATCTCAGTTAATCCTCATAAAGCATTGAAGGGAATGTTAGTCTTGTTTTATAGATGAGGCCAAATGAGGTTAAAGTCCAGGAACGGTAATGAATGGCCTTGCCCATGGTCTCCGAGCTAATAAATGTTGGAGGCAGATGAAGGACAGACTGCTTGCTTCTGTGTGGGATTGATAGAGGGGTCACTGGAGTTTGAGGGAGGGGAAGTCCAGAACCATCCGGGTTTTTTTTCAAATTGGACACCAGGGGTAGGGCGGTCTGTGTACCCTACAGCACTGCAGGTACAAGTATCATGGTGTTGGCAGTGGGGAGGTACTAGCCAGGTAAGTGGTTATTGGTCTGGAACCAGAAGATCAGAGCTTTGAAAAAAATTATTCCCTTCACAAGATATAGAAGAGACATCAATGTGGATAAACTAAGCCAGGGAGCTCTGTGAAGAGTTGTTAAAATGAGGGATGGAGAAGCAACTAAGTGGTCACTTCCCATACACTAAATGTAGAGGAAAACAATGTTAACTAGAATCCCATCTGATTTTAGTCAGTTTTTCTTTTAAGTAGTTGGAAGGTGGGATAATTTATTTTCAAGGTTAAGTGAACACCTATACATCTCCTTTGCTTTGTGAAGGCTGGTGACGAAGGGGAAAATGGCACGGCCAATGGAGTCACAGTTTGTTTAATAAATACCTCAGAGTTCAAAGACAGACTCTCATGGGGCAGAAATTGGTAAATGTTCCTGTATTCTAAAATTGGGTGAATCTTATTTTCTTTGAATCACAGAAAAGGAAACTCAGGCAGTGGGGAGGGACAGTTGGGAAGACGGCAGAGTGGCCGCAGGCTGTCGAAGACAAAGGATATATTATATCAAATTCTAAGCTGTGTAGCTGTGATGCAACCCTCTTCCTTCTCCTAATGGATTTTTTAGGTCTCAGCACAGATGCACACCTGAGGGAAAAATTTCTTTGAAAATTAAAGACAAGTAGCTGTGTTAGCAACAAGTCCACCTTCCAAAGCACACCTGGAAATGGAAACAAGATTATTTCTAAGGCCTTTTCTACTCTAAGAGTCTCTAACTTGTTGGCAAGTTGAGAGGTGAAAGGGTGAAAGGGTGTTGGCTGGGTCTAGGAGAAGGTGATGAGCTCAGGAAATAGACAAAGAGAAATCCCAGGGGAAAGCTTATGAAACCCTGGAGGAATCACAAGTCAAATTTCTCCCAGAAGATGGTGGCAGTGACTCACCTTCAGGTACAATTTGCTGGTGCTACAGAGCTAAGATGGACTTAGTGTGTTGGCAGTTTGCAAAATCTGGGCCATTTGGTCATTTTCTTTAGTAGCTTTTTAAAGTGAAGTTTTACTTCCAATATTGGCTTGATGTGTGGGTCCATTCTTATGGGGGTTAGGGTTAAAGTTACTCTATTACTTGAGTACCCTTGAAGTATTATTGGTCATGGAATGAGCAGGATTATCAGGAGTAGAAGGGGTAGGGAGAGGGAGAACTGTTAAGTGAAGCAGTAGGGTTGAGTGAAGAGTATTTTAGATATACGAGTACATACAGGGATCAAATCCCAGGTAGCCCCCAGCCCCTATGGAAGGAAGGTCAAGATTTGACAACTGGGAGAGTCATGATTACACCATGCAGCTTGATCAAGGAATGAGAAAGCTTTCTAGACAAATGACAGGTAATGACCCACACTGTGAATCGGTATTGAATGTGAGATGTTAAAATATATTCACATATACACTCATATATCTGAAATAAGAAGTCCACCTTACAAACCCTGAAAATATAACTCTGAAAACATAAACCCTCACTATTACAGGATGTGCAGGTGGTTTCAGACCTGTGAAGACCTTCGAACAGGATTAAAATCCAGTAGGCAAAGGTCTCTGATTCTTTGTTAGCTACAGAGGAAGATGTGCTATGATGGACACCTAGGGGGTCTTCCCATCCCCATTCCCATCCCCATCCCAGATCCACACCTAGAGGCGGGTCAGGCAGCACAATTCAGAGAACCACCAGAAAACCTGTGAGAATAGGGATCTACTCTGAATCCAGCTTCTCTCAGCTCTGTACCCCTTGCTGTGTAGGAGTCAGTGCAGGAGAAAACTGACTGGGTGGGAAGAAAAGGGACCTTGAACCATGCCGGGGAGACCTGTGAACTGTGACATGAGCAGCAACAGCACCATCACAGACACACACTTGCCAGGCACAGGTTCATGACAGATCCTGGCCTCTTGCAGCACCAGAGCTCCGAACGGCCTCTACCTGCTCAGTCTCCCATGGGATCCAGGCTCTTCTCCTGGGTGCTGGACATGCCTTGGTTTCTCAAAACTAAGTGTGTACTGGATGCACCTGGGGGAATCTCAGCTCTAAGTATGCCAAGCCTTGCCAGAGGAACCATGTATTTTGAAAACGTACGGGGTCTGTGTTAAAAACAACAATTTCCCTTTCAGAGCATGAGGGGATTCCACGTTCCTCTGCTCAGTTGTGCTTTGTCTCCTGGAAGCAGGTGGCTCGAGAAACCTTTTTGGGAAATCCCTGTCCCTGCAACTGCTGTGCCTCAGTTCCAAACATTCCCTATACAGCCTCATAGGTCCTAGCTCCAGGTTTTATCTCCATTCATGACCCTGTGCTCACACAGACCTCTTGAAAGCAGGTAACGGGGATGGAGCAGTAACAGGTGTGAATACATGCTACTTTTGGCATCATCTATGGGAAGCAATGTCAGCTGGAAATGCACCAGCATGAATTTTATACTATTGTGATGTAGCACTTCTGAGATTGAAGGTACAATGGCATTTTCCAAGCTGGTCAACCAAACATCTCACTCCATAAGCTGGACACATGTCCCCTAGGGGCGTGGGATTCTGTGGGTCTCCTTTTGCCAGCAGCAAAGACCTTGCTCAACCATCTCCTCTGCTTTGCTTCAAACTTTTCCTCCACTTTGCAGGATCTTCTCAAATCTGGGTCTAACTTGCCTGCGGTGAGAGGAATTGTGACTATTGTCCCTCACATGAAAGACGGTGCCCATGGAGTTTTGAGAGTTAAGTTAGGAATGAAAATGAGAAATTAATTGCTCATAATACAGACTGTTAGGAACCCCAATGATTAATTCAACTCCCTATGTTTTAATTGTACTACTCCCATCAGAATGTCAAGGGTAAAACCGTTCTGACTCTTTCTAAAGGCTGTGGAACATTTATTTATTTCAGAGGTGACTTAGAAACACAGGAGGTGTCGTGATAAGTAGTGGAGACAAAAAAGAAACAGTATTGAGATTAATACATTCATATGGGGAATTGTTTAATTGTTCTTTTTTTAACCTTTAGAATGAGTTGAAGATCCCAACTCAGCTTGGTGCCTGCCGGAGGCAACATTTCTTCCCTTACCCCTCTGAGCTGTGAATTCAAACTCTTTCAGGAAAAAGACCAGCAATTCTCTCCTTCACTTCCCAAACACCTCCCACTCCTACCCAGACCATGGATGGGCAGGAAAATGCAGGAACAGAGCCAGAAACAGGGGATCTCCAAGGAAGGTTGACAGTCAGTACTGGGATCTTCTGTGTAAAGTGCTGTTGAAGCAGCCAGGTGGCACGTCCAGCCGACAAGGTGAAAGGAATAAGAGAAGTGAGAAGACTTCCCAGAGGTGGAGGGTGGAATGTGGGCAGCAGCCCCCTGGAGGGCTGAGTGGGGAAAACAAAACGGACCTAACAGAAGCTGTGTGTGTGGAAACCCACTTCTGACTTATCACTTTTCATGAATTCTATGCTTCACGGTGTTACACTGTTTATTATTTCTGATGAGTGACAGTAATTATTTTCTTTCTTGCTGGTACATAATAAAGTGGTGCGCATCAGAGTTGCTGCTATCTTAGACTTAATTAATCAGTATCAGGTGATCCTGAGGCTCAGTGATGTCACTGTGGGAACTGCTCTGTGGGGACAGGGACGTACCTCCTTCTCTGCTCCTGCTCACAGTGACCCTGATCTGGTAAAGCTCGCATCCTGCCCTGACCCTGTCATGGGCACCAGGCTCCTCTGCTGGGTGGCCCTGTGTGTCCTGTGGGCAGGTGAGTCCTTAGAACACCAAGCAATCACATTGTGTCTGTGTGTGTGTGTGCGCACGTGTGTGTGTTTATGTGTGCGTGATGACTACAATTGTTTTCCTCCTGTTCCCAACTTCTATCTCCACAGATCACGCAGATGCTGGAGTCTCCCAAGACCCCAGACACAAGATCACAAAGACGGGACAGAATGTATCTTTCAAGTGTGTTCCAATTTCCGAACACAACCGCCTTTACTGGTACCGACAGACCTTGGGGCAGGGCCCAGAGTTTCTGACTTACTTCCAGAATGAAGCTCAACAAGACAGATCAGGGCTGTTCAGTGATCGGTTCTCTGCAGAGAGGCCTGAGGGATCTATCTCCACCCTGATGATCCAGCACACAGAGCAAGGGGACTCGGCTGTGTATCTCTGTGCCAGCAGCTTAGCCACAGCATGGCACAGTCGCCTCCTTCCTGTTCACAAACACTCAGGCACTTACTTCTCCTTCCAGCTCTCAGAAGCCCTGAACAAAGGAGCTGCCCTGCTCTTTCCTCAGCAAGGAGAATGAATGCATTTGGAACTTCAGGTGTTCTTCTGATACTAGGAGGTCAGAAAATAACCTCTGAAATACAGGAACAGGGAACACTAGGTAGTAATAATTGTGGCTTATGGATTTCTGGGATTCCTTATATATAATTCAAATTTCCATAATTAGGATATAACAGAGCTTGGTCTCAGGGATAGTGACTAACTAAATATTCTCTTATAGAACTATGAAGTTTCAGCACATTCTTATTAAACTACTGTTACCACGTGGTCACCAACTCAGACCTACAATCTGCCAAGGAGTGGGGAAGCCAAAAGCAAACACTGTTAAGGCCATTTACAGCTACCACCCTTGGAAGACAATTGGAATATTTAGTAAGAATTTCCATCAAAATCAATTATTCAGAAATAACGATTATACACAATAATGCATATTAACTCATGTTTATACATTGCTTTTTTCCTTCTGAAAATCTTGTAGTCATTCTGTGCTTAATTTCCTTCTTCTCCAGTCTAACTTTAAAAAAATAGAAATACAAATTGAGATTGGTTTCATAAGATAAATCCCTCCTGGGAAGGTGTTAAAGGGACACAATTCAAAGAAGACCTGAATATAATTATATCAACTACGTAGGATTCTTTGAGGTTTCCAAAGACGATGTACCAATTTACATTCCCATGAGAGGTATACGAGAGTTTTGGATGGAATTTTTTTTTTCTCTCTCTCTGTGGATTAGTTTTTCCCTGTACTAATAGTTTCTCTTGATAAACAGAAGTTCTTAAGTGACAATCATTCCATGTTTCTTCTGTTTCAGTTAGTGTTTTGTATTTTGGTGTCCACTTTAGGAAATCCTTGCTTACTTCAAAATGATGATGTTTTCTTATATTTCCTTCTAAAATCTTTGTATTTTCCACTTTTCACACTTAGACTCACAATCGAACTGGAATTAATTCTTTGCAGGTGATATAAGGAAGAGGTCAAGTTTTATTTTTCCAAATGATTATTCAATTTACCCAATACTATTTGTTAAGTGGTAATAGTTTTGCCATCACCCTGTAATACCACTTTTGTCGTCAGTCAGTCATTATACATGTGTGGCCTTGTTTATCGGATCTCTATTCTGTTACCTTGGTCTGTTCTGTCAGTTCTTGCACTGATAATACACTGTCTTACTACAGCTTCCTCCTCATTCTTAATATCCGGTAGAATAATTTCTCAAGCTTTGTTCCTTTTTATCAAGTGTTCTTGAGCACTCTTGACACTTTTTTTTATATACATTTTAAAATCAGCTTGCCAAGTTATTCAAGAAAAAGATAACAACTGTTGGGATTTTTGTTTTTGTTTTTGTTTGTTTCCAACTGACTTAAGTGCATCGCAGAACAAAGGTAAAAATATTAATAGAAATATAAAATATCTACCACCCAAAAATATAAAATACAAACTATCTGGCATCAATCAAAAATTACAGACCTGCAAAGAAGCATGAAAAAGGATCCATAATGAAGAGAAGGATTAATTAATAGGAACCAACTCAGAAATGACAAATTGGCAGACAAAGAAAGTCAAATAGTTATTGTAACTCTGGTCTGTAAGTTCAAAGTTTTGTAGAGATGGGGAAAGGCATAATGAGGTCCAAACAAAGCTTCTAGAGATAAAAATTACAATGTCTGTTATGAAAAATATACTGGATGAAGTTAACATCAGATTAGACATTACAGGATAAAATATTAATAAACTTGAAGAAATAACATAAACAATTCTTAATGAAATATGGAGAATAAGAGGAGGTCATCAGTAAACTGAGGGACAACTTTAAGTAGTTTAATATGTAATTAGAGTCCCAAAAGCAAATTTTTAAACTTAAATTTCTTTAAAGGATAATTGGCTATTTACACTGAAATAATTCCAACACAGTGCAGGGATTCTAATATATGCAAAAGTAAATCTATAACAAGACTAGCATAAAGACAGGTGAGGAATAAATGAACACATGTATCATTGGAAGGTTTCCATAATCTGAGTGAAGTCACTTGAAGGTAGACTGTGTTAAAGTAGAGATGCATACTGAAAATCATAGAGCAACCACTAAGATGACAAAACACAGCCAACACAATACAGAGTTAAAAAAATGCTCAAATAATCCATAAAAACAACATAAAAAGATAAAAGGAATATAGAAGCAATGGGATTGATAGAAAACAAATAGAAGATGATAGACACAAAAGTAACCACATCAACAATCACATCAAATCTAAATAGTCTAAAAGCACAGATTGTACTATTGAGCATTATTAAATAATATCAAAAAACAACTATATGTTGCTTATCAGAATACTATGAAGACTCAGAATGTAAAAAAATAAAACAAAAGTATGGAAAAAGATGTACTATGCCAACACCAATTAAAGGAAAGCTAGAGTAGTTATGTTAATATCAAACAAAATAAATTTCAAGCAGAGAATATCTGAGATAATGAAAGTCATGTCCTAATGACAAAAGTATTGGTCTATCAAGAGGTCTTAACAATCAAATACTTATGTACCTGAAAATGGATCTTCAAGATACCAAGGCAAAAACAGAACTGCCAGGAGAATTAGACAAATCCACAATTACAATCAGAGATTTCAATACCCCTCTTTTAGTAACTGGTTTAATGAGTTGACAAAAACAAAGACGAGGCCGGGCGCGGTGGCTCAAGCCTGTAATCCCAGCACTTTGGGAGGCCGAGACAGGCGGATCACGAGGTCAGGAGATCGAGACCATCCTGGCTAACATGGTGAAACCCCGTCTCTACTAAAAAAAATACAAAAAAAACTAGCCGGGCGAGGTGGCGGGCGCCTGTAGTCCCAGCTACTCGGGAGGCTGAGGCGGGAGAATGGCGTAAACCCGGGAGGCGGAGCTTGCAGTGAGCTGAGATCCGGCCACTGCACTCCAGCCTGGGCGACAGAGTGAGACGGATACAGAAGATATGAACTACACCAACAACCCACTTGACTTGACGTTTACAGAACACTTCATCCAATAGCAGCAGAATACATGTTCCCTTGGAGTGCGCACTGGCTGTGTGCCAGCATGCACTATGCACTCTGGGCCATAAAACAAGCATCCATGCATTAAAAGTATTCAAGTCAAACCAAGTGTGCTTGCTGGTCACAGTAAAACTTCATTGCAAATCAATAAGAGAAAGATTTCTGGAAAAGTCCTAAATATTTCAAAATTAGATAATAGTTGTCTAAATAACTCATAAGGCAAAGAATAAATCAAAAGATAAAAGATAATTTACAATTATTTTAATAGTATCTTTTGGTCATTTTTTTTTTCTTTTTGACCAAATACTGGTGAGAATGAAGATAAATGGATAAATGAGATTTCTTTTTTTTTTTTCTTTGAGACAGAGTGTCACTCTGTCACTGAGGCTGGAGTGCAGTGGTGCAGTGTTGGCTCACTGCAACCTCCGTCTCCTGGGTTCGAGCAATTCTCCTGCCTTAGCCTCCTGAGTAGCTAGGATTACAGGCGTCCACCACCACGCCTGGTTAGTTTTTATATTTTTAGCAGTGATGGGGTTTCATCATTTTGGGCAGGCTGGTCTCGAACTCCTGACCTCAGGTGATCCACCTGGCACGACCTCCCAAAGTGCTGAGATTACAGGTGTGAGCCACTGTGCCTGGCCCAGCCCTTTCTTTTTTGGGGGGAGAGTAAATTGTAAAATCCTTTTCGTCTAATAATTTAGCAACAAACATCAAAAGAGTTAAAATTGCTAACAGTCCTTGACTCAGAGTGTTTTTTGTTTAATGAATTTATTTTAAGGAAATTGCTATATATGCATAAAATGTTTGAGAATGTTCAAAAGAATTATTTTAAACTGAACAAATATAAAAATATATCAAAGTTGGTAGGATGCTGCCAAAGCAGGACTGAGAGGAAAACTGAAGGACAGGGGATAATTTTCTATTCATTCTCAGGCCAGAACTACCCTGATACCAAAATGAGACTAAGAGATTCCAAGAAAGCTACTATTATCTCTCAGGAACACAGATTCAATGATCCTTTTACAATTACAGCCTAGAGAATCCAACAATATGTAAGAGGGATAGTACAACACGGTCAAGTAGGGTTTATCTCAGTAACGCAGTGTTGGTCTGACATTTCAAAAAACAGACTATGTCATTTACCTTATCTGTACTAAAAATATGAAAACTATATGCTATCTATAGATAAACACTTGATAAAATTCAACATCCTTTCTTGATGAAAACTGTTATCAAAGTAATAAGAAATTTTCTTCCCCTAAAAAAGGACGTTTATGACATCCTGTGGTTAAACAGGAGAATATTTTTGCAAGCAAACTGTGATAAGTCAAAGATGCATATTGTAATTCCCAGATCAAATACTAAAAACAGCAAAAAGAGGATAAAATAGTCTTTTTAGCAAATAGTTCTAGAAAAATGTCATAATATGGAAAAATAATGAATCTCTAGCCTTATCTCACTCCATAAACCAGATGTGGGCAAACTATGGCCTCGGGGCCAAACTTGGCCTCTGTCTGTTTTCATACAGCTCAGAAACTAACAATAATTTTACATTTTTAAAAGATTTTAAAAAAGCAAAAATTAAAGAAGTAAAAACGTTAAAAAAGTAAAAATTGTTACATATAAAAATATAAGATATTCAAATTTCAGTGAACATAAATGAAGTTCTGTTGGATCATGGCCACAGTCATTCATGTATATATTGTCAATGGTTGCTCTTGCACTACAATGGCAGAGTTGAGTAGTCGACACAAATACCGCATGATGCACAAAACTAAAAAATTTATTATCTCACCCTTTACAGGACAACTGCTGACCCTTCCCATAAACAAAAATTAGTAAGAGACACAAAAAAATCCCAGATATCAAAAAACTAGAACCCAAAAGCTTCTGGAAGAAAACATAGCAAGCTCTCTTCATGATCATAGGGTAGGCAAAGATTTCTTAAAGACAAAAGAATGTTCTAACCATAAAAAAAGCAAATTGTTCTTTATGCAAATCCCAAAAAGTTCTTCAAAATATATTAAGAAAAAATAAACGTAATCTGAGAAAGGGCTGGATTCATATTATAAAGAATTCCTACACATCAATCATAAAGAAGACAATTCACTAAAAACAAAAAATTGACTAGAGTATTAAAAAAATAAAAGATATAAAAGTAAGCAGTTTCTTTTCATGAGACTAATGTGCTTATTTCTCCAGCTTAGGTGGTTGTTTCACTGATAGCAGGTCACTGTCAGCTGCCTCTAGGAATCACCTTTGGTTGAAGGGAATGCTTTGTCCAGGTCTCACCCCATTCCTATGGCAGCTGGCATCTAATGACTGGCTGATATCTCCTTTCCTACACCATTATTTGATGAAATTTAAAATTTAAATTTAAATGTAAAAGTTTTGGTTCTTGTTTAGAAAAACATTTGCTTCTCCCTCACTACCCTGTGCAAAAGTTGAGTTTGAGGCAGGTAAACCTGAAATCAGCAAGAGCTGGAAGCACCCAGCCTCCCTAGTCAGGGTCCTTAGCGCTTTATCATAGTGACTACACACTGGCCACTGGAGGGCACTGTGGATCCACTGAGTGGGCCACTGATAGCGCTGTCTGGGAGAGAGAGGGTTAAGGGAGACAGTCTTGATTTCGTCTCTGTATCAGGGATATTACTAGATGAACCGGAGGTAGTGCTGGCACAGGAAGAGTTAATCATAGCCTTATCAGATCAACCGATATGCATGTGTATTTGTCATGATAGGAAGCCATGAACTGCAGCCTTATGTGACCTCTCTAGGTGCCTAAGTTTGACAGGGAGTGTGGGGAGGGTTTCAGCAGGGCAGCCTGGATAACCCAAGCCGGGCAGAGACAAAGGAGCATCTGCCTCAGATGAAAATCTCAGAAGCTGTGGGGATGGCTGTCTGCCCGGAAGCCCGCCTCCCACCCCTTGCTCAGCACAGCTAGCTTCCCCTGCCCCCTGCCCTGCAGGAAGCTGGACAGGATGGGGGAAAAAGCCTGAGTTAGCTGAGTTAGTCCTGGAGTACAGGGTGCCTATGGGAGCCTACAGGACGATGACATCAGAACAGTGACATCACAGTAAAAACCTCCAAAAACGGTGAGGAGGAGCAAAAGCCCTGCTTTCTCACCCCAGGAAACCGGCGCCCTGAGAAGGGAGATGCTTGGTCCTGACCTGCCTGACTCTGCCTGGAACACCAGGCTCCTCTGCCATGTCATGCTTTGTCTCCTGGGAGCAGGTGAGTCCTGAATACAGCTGGGACATCCCTGCATCCATAGCATTCGATTGTTGCTGAAGTATCAAACTCTCCTGAGCTGAGTCTTCAGCTTCTGTCTCCTTCCTCCACAGGTTCAGTGGCTGCTGGAGTCATCCAGTCCCCAAGGCACCTGATCAAAGAAAAGAGGGAAACAGCCACTCTGCAATGCTATCCTATCCCTGAACACGACACTGTCTACTGGTACCAGCAGGGTCCAGGTCAGGGCCCCCAGTTCCTCATTTCGTTTTATCAAAAGATGCAGAGAGAAAAAGGAAGCATCCCTGATCGATTCTCAGCTCAACAGTTCAGTGACTATCATTCTGAACTGAACATGAGCTCCTTGGAGCTGGGGGACTCAGCCGTGTACCTCTGTGCCAGCAGCTTAGGCACAGCCCTGCAGAATTACTGGCTTTCTGTACCCAAACCCTCCTGTCTCAGTTGGGGATGTAACAGGGAGAAGGAGGTGGGGGCTGCCACACAGCTTTAGCCAAGCCCCAGAGATGCTTCTAGTTCTTTTCTAACATTTTCCCCCGCCCTGCTGAGCTCAGTGAGAGCTCCTGCACTTGTGGGCTCCGGACCCACTAGAAGTTCTCACATCTTAGCCAGTACTTTTTAATTCCTAGCAAGTGGTGGGAGCTCATACTCTGTGCCAACATATGGGCATGTGTTTTAGTGTGTTTTCTGTTGCCATACAGAATACCTGAGACTGGGTATTTTATAAATAAATGAAATTTGCTTCTTATAGCTCTGGAGGTTGGGAAGTCCAGGGTCAAGGACCCATATCTGGTGAGGATCTTCTTGCTGGTGAGGACTCTGCAGAGTCCTCAGGTGGCACAGGGCATCACATATGAGGGGGCTCATGAAAGATGGCCAAACTGGCTTTTATAACAGACTCACTCTCATGATAACCTACCCATTCCCTCTATAACCCATTAATCCATGAATGGATTAACCTTCACGAGGGCAGAGTCCTTAAGACCTAGTCACCTCCCAAAGGTCCTACCTCTCAATGCTGCTGCATTGGGAACCAAGTTTTCAATATATAAATTATTTAGGAACACAGTCAAATCATAGCAGTGCACATTGTGTTTTTTTCTTCTTTTTTGAGACAGGGTCTCACGCTGTCACCCAGACTGGAGTGCAGTGGTGTGATCATGGCTCATTGCAACCTTGAGCTCCTGGGTTCAAGCAATCCTCCTGCCTCAGCTGCTTGAGTAGCTATGACTACAGGGAAACATCACCTTGTAGTGACGTGTCCCCTTGCCTGGCTATTTTTTTTTAATTTTTATTTTTTGTAGAGATGAGGCCTTGTCATGTTGTCCAGATTAGTCTCAAACTCCTCAAATGATCCGCCTGACTTTATGTGTTTTAATGCAAAGATATACATTAGTATATCCACTTTAAAAATGAAGAAGATTTCAGTGTACTATTTTATAGATACAGAGCTGTGCCTCATGAACTTCTCCAGTATTTCGTATTTCTAAGGATCAAAGCCAGGATCCAAACCTATGACTCCATGCCTCCAAAATAAAACTTCTAAAATTCTATAGTGTTTCCTGGGCCTTGGTCAAGATGCTACAGCAAAGCACTATTCTTCCATCTCAAGACTAGCCAAGCAGTAGAAGAGGGTCACATATTATGGAATGTGGTTACTATGGCTTATGGCCTGCCAACCTCCAGGACATATAACTTCTGGCCAGAGAATATTTGTTCTGTCTTAGTTCCATATAGAATGGGGCCACAATATGTCCTAATATAGACGTATAGGGACAAGGGGCATTTCTAATACATCAGAGGGTTCAGTCAAGGAAACAGAATCCTCTAGGAATTCCAAGGAGAATAGGAGTTAATACAGGGAATTAGTGGTTATAAACTACTGGAAGGCTGAGAAGTGGGAGGTTCTCAGAAGGCTGAAGCTTGCCCTCAGGTCCGCCACTAGTGATCAGAAAGGCTGAAGTTGCTACTTTTGCCCAGGTCAGGGACTACTGGAAATAGGTGAGAGTCACAGTGGTCTTGCAGTGACCAAGAGGGGGATTCACAAGAAAGTATCCAGAGGTCGTTGCAAATCCACCTGTCTGTTGCTGTCAGATAAAAGTCTTTATTCTGCTTCCAACTTTTCCACAAGTATAGCTTATTGGGGGAAGCAAAACTGTTTTCAGAAACTTGCTCTCAGGAGAATCTGGGACATGTATTTTCAAGTCTTCTAGCTCTTGCAATGAGAGAGAGAGAGATTGTTGGAGGACATTTAAGGGTACTCAGTGCCAATAGACAAGCATCAGCACACCCAGCTATGCAGCAGAGAAATGGAAAGCGGGAGAATAAATTTTATATTTTCTGTCAACTTGTCCATGAAAATTTATTACATGTATATATATAGTTTTGCTGTTGTCATTTAGTTGTTGTTCACTTGTTAATTTATTCAGTAGATATTCCTGGAATACCTATTATGTTAAAAATTTCCTTGGAATACAGAAAATGAGATGTAATTTTTCAAATTACACATTTTGTCTTTAAGAAATCTAAAGTCTGGCAAGATAATATATTCCTAATTATTCATACATGCATTTACAACGTATGAGAGTCATTTGAATCAGTCAGTTTTCTGGCGTGGAACAGATAACACATTCAAAAAGGCTGAAGTGAAAACAATTTAATCAAAGGACTGTGTTCAGAGGGATAAACAGACTTAGGGACACAAGGAGTGTTCGAGGGACCAGGGGTTTCCAGCACACTGAGAAGCCAGTACAACTCCTGGGCCTATGGAGAAAGGGGTGGGAGGGAAATGCTGTGTTCCTGGAGGTGCATGCAAGTAATGAGAAAAGTTTTCCAAAGGGAGGAACTCAGGACCAGAAGCTAGGAAGGGGAAGCCCAGATATACTGAACTCTCTCTTCACTACCCTTCACTGTCCAGCTGGTGTCTGCCATTGGAAAGCCCAGCCAAAACCATGGATAGCACCCTTTGCTGAAATCAGTCTTCAGGGGCACAGCCCAGGGCAGTACAGGGCAGGGAGGTGAGAGTGGGTTGCGGGGAGCATTGGGTGCACATGTACAACAATCAGCATAGCAGCTACCAAGTGTATGATGTGCCATTTGCAGATGCATATGCAAGTACACAGTGGACAGAGACCAACTTAATTCTACCTGTTTTATGTAAATTTATAGAAAATTCCCTTGTTGATTGCTAATAACAAGCAATATTGTTTATCCCATTTTCTCTGGGCCATATACGAGGTACATTATTTCAATTAATTTCTTAAGAACTTCATAAGGGAGAACAATTCACTCCCATATTACAGGTAAAAAACTGTTAGAGAATTTAGATAATTTTCTAAAGGAGGTACAGCTAACAAATATTGAACTTGGACTCACACCTAGGCCATACTAACTTTCAACCTATGCTTGAAGTTACTCCACCCTATACATTTTGGTAGAGGAAGATACCTTCAACATTGGAAACATTGATCCAAATGTCCCTTTTGGAAACAATGCATCTGACACAAATCATTTGAATAACATCTTTCACGTGGGAGGCTACATGCTAAAGAGGAAGGTCCTTGGAGATGAGGAGACCTCAGTGGTTCATATTCTGATTCCTTGGGTCAGTGACTTGAAAAACATTTAGCTAAGTTTTGTCACTTGTAAACTGAGGCCAGTAATATATGTCTTACAGAAATTTTAAACTTGTAAACAAGACAAAGTCTAATACATAGTATAGGCTCAATAAATCTTAGGTCCCTGTGAATTTTCTGACAAATCTCTAGTCGAGCAGTTATTTACTTTGTGCAATCTGGTAACAAAGGCAGACACGAATTACTTTTGTCTGATTCACCTATGATTCAGACACAAAGTCATCTAAAATGCCGATATAGTAGTCTGATCATTCACTGGTAAAAGTAACATAAACAGTTGTGCCTTAAGAGAAAGTGAAAAATGTTGCATCTTACAGCATTTCCTGCTTGATACTGAGTCTGATATGCAAGGTGTGATGCTCCCAGAAAGGTGTGAATTCAGAGCAATCCTGATGGATTCCATCTCCTGTTGCTCCAGCACAAACTCAATATTGTACCTTTATCCTGGTTTCCCCTCTCCCTATTTCATTCTCCCATCTCTCTTATTCCTAATTCCTGAGATCCTTTCCAAAGCAAACTACTTTCACCAAAGCCCACATCTCAAACTTTGCCTTCAGGGTCAGCTTAAAACTTTGACAGTGATAGAATGGGATGACCCTCTAAGACACTTCTCTTTGAAAAAGGCCGTGGTTTTCTTTTAGTTATACTGCCATGCATTCATTCACAAGTCTTATAATGATATGTGAACTATCTCTTCCAAGTTCATTTGGACTCATTCTGAGTTTCCAACAGACTCACATGGGTCTCTGCTCAGTTAAGGCTCTGAGCTTATTTGTAACTGAATAGACTAAGTTTATGTTTCACAGCTTCAGGGTCTGCCTGGACTCAGAGAACCATTCATTTCTTTCTTTAGTCATTCAACCAAAATTTAACAAGCGTATGTGTAGAGTAGATCCAAGTTTTGTGGAGCAGGTGGCTTATAAAATTTTAGGGATCGCTTTGAAAAAGAGAAGACAAAATGACAATGTCTTGAAAAAATTCTGTGCAGGGCCAGGCACAGTGGCTCATGCCTGTAATCCCAGCATTTTGGGAGGCCGAGGCAGGTGGGTGATTTGAAGTCAGGCGTTCAAAATCAGCCTAGCCAACATGGTAAAACCCTGTCTCTACTAAAAATACAAAAATTAGCCAGGCATGGTGGTGGGCACCTGTAATCCCAGTTACTTGGGAGACTGAGTCAGGAGAACCACTTGAGCCCAGGAAGCGGAGGTTGCAGTGAGCAGAGATCACACCATTGTACTCCAGCCTGGGTAACAGAGTGAGACTCTGTCTCAAATTTAAAAAAATAAATAAATTCTGTGCAAGTGAGAAGGCCTAAAGTTATTCTTCATTGACTTCATGGCAAATCCACTTCTAGCTAGTTATCGTGTGTAGGCACCATGTAAATGTTTGAGAAACATTAGCACAGAAAACAGACAAAGCTGCAAAATAAGGTGTATGTTTTCAACAAAAGAAAATTTGTAAATCAATAATGATCAAGAAATAAAAATGTAAATACAAGGAAAATACTCCTGGTAGATGTTTATCTCCCCAGAGAAGTCAGAGTATTGTTGAGAATTCTATTGGTGGATCACACCTTATTTATTGATGGATCACACCTTATTTTGATAACAATTCTCAGTGCTCTTGGATTCCATGTGCCCTACCCTAAAGAATCTGAGCCCTGAGATGGAAAACTTTCCTGTCCTGTCCTGACTCAACCATGGGCAATGATCTGTTTTTCTGTGTGCCTTTTGGTATCCCAGGACCAGGGGAGTTCTGGGCATAGATGAGAAAGCTCTTCCTGGGATTGCCAGGCCCCAGCCACAGCCTCTCCATGGGGGTGTTCATGGGTCTCCTCCCTGTCTCCACTTCAGATTCTGTATCCATTCTCACTGGAGCATGAGTGTAGGAATTAGCCACCCAGGTTACATCAAGATGTGCAGTCACAAAAAGGGAGCCTCACACTGAGATGTAACCTGTATCTGAAATAACAATAGTACCACTATTGACTGGATGTAGTCATGTGTCACTATGTATTCTTTGTGTCTTCACATCTCTTCCTGTTGTATTTTAAAGCATTTCATAGTATGTGGTGTTGCCTAGTAAAGCATTCTCATAGCAAAAAAAAAAAAAGTATATATGTATACATATGCATATATATATTCTATCGGTTCTGTTTCTCTGGAGAAACTATATATATATATATACACTCTATATGTATACAGAGAGAGAGAGAAAGAGAGAAGAGGAGAGGAGAGGAGAAGAGAAGAGAACAGAAGAGGAGAGAAGAGAAGAGAAGAGAAGAGAAGAGAAGAGAAGAGAAGAGAAGAGAAGAGAAGAGATCTGTTAGGGAAATTGGCTCACGTGATTATGAAGGCTGAAAAGTTCCCCAGTATGCCAGCCATCTGCAAGCTGAAGATGAAGCAATGCCAGTAGCATGACTCAGTCCAAGTTTGAAGGCCTCAGAACCAGAGAAGCCAATGTTGTGTCTCTCAGCCCGAGACCAAAAACCTGACAACCCAGGGGATTGCTGGTGTAAGTCCCAGAGTCCAAAGGTAGGAGAATCTGGAGTTCTGATATCCAAGGGCAGTGGAAGACACATGTCTCATCTCTGAGAGACAATGCAAATTCACCCTTCCTGTGTCTTTTTGTTTTATCCAGGCCCCCAGCTGACTGGATATTGCCCATGCACATTGAGAGTAGATCTTCCCCACACAGTTCATCAATTTACAAGCCAATTTCCTCCAGAAATACCCTCGCAGACATACCAAGAAACACTGCTGTACCAGTATCCAGGTATGCCTTCATCTGGTCAGATTAACACCTAAAATTAACCATCACACTACCAGCGGGAACACACAGAGGTCTGAGCTCTGATGATGAGACTCCTGTGAGGTGAACTAATGTGACAGAGCATAAAACAATATACAAATTATATGGACCCTAACATTAAGACTTTTTGAAACCTTCCCAGATGTCAGGTGGCTCTTTTAACAGAGGCCATTCCTGTAGGCTGACATCCAGTTATCCAGAGTTTGAGAAAAGATAAAATCTAATAAAAGGAACTTAGAGGCAAATTTGAGGAGATGAGTTCTAAAGGACACCAGACTGCCATGAGAATGTCCCTTAGACTACATAAATATTAGAAACAATTAAAACAGCATAAAAATGAAGAATTGTATCCTAATGGGAACAAAATATGCAGAGAGGAATGCATTTTCTTTCTAAAATTCTGCAAAGAGCATATGCACTTATGTCATTAAAAGTAGTCTACAGATTATTCCCATTCTGAGCTATTAATTGTATATATGCCCTATAAAATATTGCTGTACATATCATAAATTACATATATTCACTCTCTCTCTATATATATATATACACACACACTTTATTTTTGTGGAGAATGGAAGGGGTGTGGCAGGTTAACTTTGCAGCTCAACTATTTGTCAGGGGCACTGATGTTATCGAGTCACTGAGAACCTAAGTTCTATTTCCCCGAGCAGGGCTGGGAGACATGAGATCCTGGCCTGGACCTGAAATGGGCACAAGGTTCTTCTTCTATGTGGCCCTTTGTCTCCTGTGGACAGGTGAGGGCTGGTCACAGGTGGGCTTCCTTCCCTGGAATTCCCAAGGCCTCAATAAAAGCCTTTTTCTTGGGATTACAGCATCAAGGTCTATTGTTTTCTATAACAGGACACATGGATGCTGGAATCACCCAGAGCCCAAGACACAAGATCACAGAGACAGGAACACCAGTGACTCTGAGATGTCACCAGACTGAGAACCACCGCTATATGTACTGGTATCGACAAGACCTGGGGAATGGGCTGAGGCTGATCCATTACTCATATGGTGTTGAAGACACTGACAAAGTAGAAGTCTCAGATGGCTACAGTGTCTCTAGATCAAAGACAGAGGATTTCCTCCTCACTCTGGAGTCCACTACCCGTTCCCAGACATCTGTGTACTTTTGTGCCAGCAGTGAATCCACAGTGCTGCACGGCTGCCTCCTCTCTGCACGTAAAGGGCAGTTAGACTGAGGTTGTTCTGTGTCTGTCCCCACCCTGGGCAGTCCAGGCCTCCACAGGAGTCAGAGAGCCCTGGCCAGCCTGGAGGCCATAGAGCAGGGGCCTTAGGACCCTCAGTGCTGACGTCCATTCCTACCCCAGTCTCAAACCAACTGGAGGTCACCCCAACACCCTTAGCTTGCCTAGTCTCTCTTCCGCAGCTCTTGTTTTTCTGCTTTTAGAAAGGAAAAGGCATCACTAGTTGAGATTAGTGATAATTCTCTTAACCCCGAAGCCTGGACTTCTTCTCTCACCTGTGGCCTTCAGTGACTTCTTCAGCTGCCCCTTTCCCCATCCTCCACTATCCCTTCCACTCACAGTCACGAACCTTCACTCCTGACCTCTGTTCCTGGCTGCCTTTCCTCTATGGGGCAATAGCCTCATGGGGCCCTCTCTCATTTGCCCTTCACCTACATCTCCATCATCATTTTGTACAAGTCTCCCCTGGTTCTCTCTGCTCCAGCCACACTCCTCTATGTTCAGTTATTTCCTCATATGTGTTATGTTGTTTTGATGTGTTTTTACAGATTACTTTTTTTTGCACTGAGCATATGTTCCTCCCTCTTATCCCCAAGTCTCTACTTCATTCCTCACATGAGAGTAGCTTTCAGGTACATTTACTCTTAACTATAAGCAGAAAAACTTAAATTTTACTAGAAGAAATTAAGGAAAATATTTTTATCCTTTGAGGGAAGACTTTTTTAGTGGAAATACAAAAGAACACAAGCCATAAAAAATAATACTGGCTGGGCAAGGTGGCTCATGCCTTTAATCCCAGCACTTTGGGAGGCCAAGGCAGTGTATCACTTGAGCCCAAGCGTTTGAGGCCAGCTTGGGCAACATGGCAAAACCTCATCTCTACTAAAAACACAAAAATGAACCTGGCGAGTGGGCAGGCGCCTGTACTCCCAGCTACTCTGGAAGGTGAGGCATGAGAATCACTTGAACCTGGGAGGTGGAGGTGGCAGTGAGCTGAGATGGCAGCACAGCACTCCAGCCTGGGCGACAGAGTGAAACTCCATCTCAAAACAATGACAACAACAAAAATTAAAACCTGACATTAGCTGTATTAATCATGTATCAAAACACATGATAAAAAACGAAAAGTCAAGCCACAGCCTGGAAAAGACATGAGGAATGCATGCAAATGAAGAATAATCAGCATGACAAAGACCCTTTATGCTCACAAAAGTGCCTTGGCTCCCCTTTGGTTCCAGGCTTCAGTTGTAGTTAAAGGGCTGCGAACATATGAAGAGATTCTGAATAACTGGATGTGTGCAGAACTGATGTGGGCAATCCCAAGGCTGGTCCTTAGTAATAACTTGCGGCGGCCACGCGCGGTGGCTCACGCCTGTAATCCCAGCACTTTGGGGGGCCGAGATGGGTGGATCAAAGGTCAGGAGATGGAGAACATCCTGGCCAACATGGTGAAATCCCATCTCTACTAAAAATACAAAAATTAGCTGGATATGGTGGCGGGCGCCTGTAGTCCCAGTTACTCAGGAGGCTGAGGCAGGAGAATCACTAGAACCCTGGAGGTGGAGATTGCAGCGAGCCAAGATCGTGCCACTGCACTCCCGCCTGGTGACAGTGGGAGATTCCGTCTCAAAAAAAAAAAAAAAAAAAAAAAAAAAAAAGAAAGAAAGAAAAGAAGAGAAAAAAGAAATAACTTGTGGTACTGTGAAGGGAGTCCTCAAGTAGACACAGAAATTAGCTGCAAAGACTCATGGGATATAGCATACAGTTGCACTTACCGTTGAGATTTATTACAGTGTCATAGTAAATATTCAGCAGTGGATCATATGAAGAAAACACACAGAAGGAATCTAGAGGAGTTCACACACTGGCTTCCTTATGCTCTCTTCCTCCCAGGAGGGGTCACACAGATCTCACTTCTCCCAGCAACAAAAATGCATTAACACGTGTGCAATGTTTCTGCCTGTGGAGCTCATCAGAGACTCAACACCCCAGAGGCTTCAGTGGAGGCCGGACATGGAGGCACTCACTGCCTCGTATGAACCCAAAATCCACAGCCCAGAAGGAAATCTGGTGTTCAGCACAATACTGTTTGCGATATCAGTCTAGGCACAATGAGCTACTCCTCTCAGTTAGGAGAAACTTCATGTCAGTGCAGGGCACTGCTCACCAGACAGTTTCCCAGATGCCAGCCAAATGCCAGTCTTGCAAGCAGAACTTTCTAAGCGCCGCAGTCTCAAGCCTGCTGTTGACTGTTTTCTGTACAGATACCCTTCAACTCTTTTGCCATGCCCTAATAAACTTGGGAGCTACGCGATACAGATTGACTAACGATAATACGGAAGCAGCCTGGCTCACTGGGTCGTAATTTGGTGAAGAGCCATGGAAGAAAGCCACTTAGGTCCTGCTGGGCTTTGTGGACACGGGAAGTAAGACTTCATAGAATTAAGCCAATGAAATTTTAAGATTTATTTTTATTTTGTTTTCTGTAGCATAGCTTTTCTTATCTAATAGAGTTAGTATCTAAAATGAGTAAAGCATTCTCATAACTTACTAAGAAAAAGACAACCCAATAAAATGGCAATACTTAGTCTAAATAGGCATTTCACAGAAAAGTAAACATAAATTACCACTAACATAAAAGTAGGTTATTGGGCCAGGTGCAGTGGTTCATTCCTGTAATCCCAGCACTTTGGGAGGCCGAGGTGGGCAGATCACTTGAGGTCAGGGGTTCGAGACACGCCTGGCCAACATGGCGAGACCTCGTCTCTATAAAAAATAAAAAAAATTAGTCGGGCATGGTGGGATGTGCCTGTGGTCCCAGCAGCTACTCGGGAGGCTGAGGCACAAGAATTGCTTGAACCTGGGAGGCGGAGGTTGCGGTGAGCCAAGATCACTCCCCGCACTCCAGACAGGGTGACAGAGCAAGACTCCGTCTTAAAAAAAAAAAAAAAGAATAGGTTCTTAACCTCACTTAGAATCAGAGTATTCCAATCTGAAACAGTAAATTATGAATGCAAACTTACCAGACCAGAAAGTTTTCAAAGAAATGATAGTCCCAAATATGAGAAAAGATATGGACTAGTGGAACTGTATTATACTACAGAAGAAAATTATAACTGATATGGTTTGGTTCTGTGTCACCACCTTCATCTCAAATTGTAATCCCCACGTGTCAAGGGAGGGACCTGGTGGGATGTGATTGGATCATGGGGGCAGTTCCCCCATGCTGTTTTCCCAATAGTGAGTGAATTCTCACAGGGCCTGATGGTTTATAAATGACAGTTTTCTTTTCTCTTTCTCTGTCCTGCTGCCATGTGAGATGTGCCTTGCTTCCCTTCTCCTTCTGCCATGATTGTAAGTTTCCTGAGGCCTTCTCAGCCATGTGAACTGTGAGTCAAATAAATCTCTTTCCTTTATAAATTAAATTACCCAGTCCTGGGTATTTCTTCATAGCAGTGTGAAAACAGACTAATACAATAACTATATCAGAAAACCCTTTCTGAGATATATTCTGACAGGCAACATTTTGAAATAAATTAGCAAGATACTTGACCTTCTATATCAGCTGATTTGGAACCCAAGGATATGAAAGGTTGACTGTGAGGAAGGTGGGCACCCCCAGATTAGGGTATCAGCAGGGTTTCCTGGAACTAATCCCCTCAGGATATAAGAGATGACTGTATGTTTAAATTACTTGAGTTCTTTCATTGTCTTTAGGGTCCCTCATGGAGAATTGAGTTGTCACTATTTATTTTAGCCATTTTGAAGGTTTTAATCAACATTTAAAAATTAACATTTAAAAACTGTGGTTATAAATATATGTATAACCATATATGTATAATATATCGTATATACATTACATATAGTATATACATTATATCATACATGTATTATATATAGTATGTACATTATATCATATATGTATAATATATAGTATATACTTTACCAGTTTTATATATATATAAAATATATATTATCAGTTTTTAAATGTTAATGTTTAAATGTTTTATATGTGCATAAAACTATACTTTTTTATTTTAACAATTTTAAAACATACGATTAAGTGGAATTACGTACATTCACAATGTTGTAGAACCATCACTGCTGTTTCCAAATGTTTTTCATGATCTCAAAGAGAAACCACACCCATTAAGCAATAACTCCACATCTCCCCTGCTTCTCAGCCTCTGGTAACCCCTAATCTACCCTTTGTTTATATGAATTTACCAACTCTAAATAGTTAATTTATGGGAAATCATAAAATATATTTCCCTTTGTATCTGTCTTCTTTCATTTAGCCTAACGCTTTCAAGATTCATCCATATTGTAGCATGTGTCAGAATTTTACTCCTTTACATAGCTGAATAATACTTCATTGTGTGTATAGACCACATTTTGTTTATTTTATCATCAACTGATGGACATGTGAGTTGTTTCCACCTTTTGACTATTATAAATAATCTTGCAATAAACACTGACCCACAAGTATCTGTCTGATTTCCTGCTTTCAATTATTCTGGGTGTATACCTAGGGGCGGAATTGCTGAGTCACATGGGAATTCTATATTTGACATTTTGAGTAACTGCCCAACAGTGTTTTGCAGCAGCCTCAGCATTTTGTATTCCCACAACAATGTAAAAGCCTTCCAGTTTCTTCACAGCCTTGCCAACACTTAATTTCTGTTTTGTTCTTCTTTTTAAAAATTATTTTAGCCATCCTGGTAAATGCGAAGTGATACCTCATTGCGATTTTGATTTACATGTTCCTAATGACTAATGATGTTAAGCATCTTTTTTTGAACTTTTACTTTAAATTTTAAAATTTTATTATGTATACTTCAGGTACATAACATGATATTATGAGATACATACCTATAGGAAAATGGTTACTATAGTGAAACAAATTCATATAGCCATCATCTCACATAGTTACCATTCACTCCCTGTGGCAATAGCAGATATAATTTACTCATTTAGAAAAAAATTCTGTATATATTATTATTAACTGTAGTTTTCATGTGGTACATTAGATCTTTAGAATTCTTCATCCTGCCTATCTGCTATCTTATGTCATTTGGCCTAGATATTCCCATTTCCTATTCCCTCCCCCTGCCATCCTCTCAGTAACCACTATTTAATTCTCTCTGTATATTTGAGTGT